AATGGGCGTAAGCAACAATTTGGATAATACCCAAATATATAAAATATTATTTTCTCTACATAGTGTTTGTCTTAACATCCTACCAAGCATTTTACAGTTTACAACATTGTTGGGGTTTTGTTTGTATTTTTAAATAAATGGGTGGATTTCTTGTTTGTGTGGGCTTTAGGTAAAGTGAAACTCCTTTGGTGTGTTTTTAATAGTGTACTTTCCTTTAGGTGAAAACCTATAAATGCACAGCAACCTCCTTATTGTTTATTGAGATGTCATCTAATTGTTTTCTAAAATATTGAGGTTTAGGATATTTATATCCATCCTGGATACTTGAAACAATTTTGTTCAGGGTGTATCCCAAGAAGTGTTTTCTGATACTACCTCTTGTTACTGAGGTAAGTTAGTGACTGATGGTATTAGTGGAACCACTGCTAGTCCCCCCAAAAAAACATCTTGGCTCCATTTCCTTCCCTGATTCATTTGAAGTATCAGCGGACTCTGGATTTTTGCTTAGCATAGAACTGTGCATTCCAGGTATTTAGTTGAGCAATAATATGTTTTTCTTATTATGGTTACTCCTCTGATCTTTGTTAGTTATAATGATGAATATTTACTGGTAATTCCTGGTTCAATATGATAAAGCTCATGTCCCCTCAGGAAACCTTTAACATCTATGGATATTACCAAGGCCTTCTCTTTCCTGTTCTGTTTTTAGTTAACTTTTATTTTTAGGATAACTTGGTGCAATCATTCTTCTTCTTGCCTTCCTCCTCAGTGGAAAATAATGGTGCCACATGGTAATTCCTGAGGATGATGGTTAGCTAGACACTTGTCCTTTAATAATATTGATGATGGGGTCTAGAAATCTCCCTTGGTTCTGATATTTTTAATTTATTTGGTAACAAAGAGGAGACTGTATGTGAACACCAAAGAAGTTATAAATGGCAGCTATGATCCAAATATGAAAAATCTCTTTCATGATCTTCATTTATATTTACATTTAGATTTGTCAAAATGATCACTATATTGATGACCTTTTATAATATATCTCAAGTATATTAAATTTAAAATTTTCAGATAAAACAGGATCTGTGTCTTAATAAACATCTAGCCTTAATAGTAGAGCCTTTGCTCAGAAAGCAAGAAAATCCTATTCACACTTGAAAATACAAGTTGGATGGAAATCATATCATTGTTAATAGTGCTTAAAGGGAAATAACCTGTGTATTTAAATTACTGTGCTACCTTCATACTATAGACATATATTTTAATATTTTTTAAATCAAATATATCCTATTATAATATGTGTTTTCAAATTCTGATCAGTCTTTAGAAATCGTAGCCATTCATTGGTACACGTGTGGTCATTTGGGTCAAGTCCTTGCTGGCTTATTTACTGGCCTATTTGCCACCAAAAACTTGAGAAATGAATCTACATATAAGAAGGACTAGAAAACTCTACTTCCTCTGGGTAGGCACCTTGGTTTAAAATAGTGCTAATCAGAATCCCCAGTGAATTCCTTTGTGACAAAGTAGTGTGAGGATGGAGAAGTCAATCTGTGAGAGCTGGGTGTGTCTGCAGGTGACTAAGTCTGGGATGCTCAAGGAACTCCAGTGCCCCCATGAATGGCCCCACATGGTGTAGGGGAAAGTAGGGATTTGAGATACAGGATGCATAGCTGGTTGCATGTCAAACCAGTCAGAAGCATATCATGGGCTAATATCTGGGCTTTTATGTTACAGGTTATTTGTGATCCCCTGAGTAGAGTCACAGAATTATAGAGCTGGAGGAGACTAGAAATGATGTAACTCAAACATTGTTTTTAATTTGAGAGATTTACGTCCAGAGAATGTAATTTACTCCACCTAAGTTTCTTGACTCTTGGTTTATTGACTTGTAGCTGATGTGGTGGAACCAAGCGATACGGGTTTTCAGTAACTAAACATCACTTTTTAGCTCTGTGAGTCATTTAAACTTTATGAGCCTCAGTTTCCTCTTTAGTGTAAAAGTAATAATCATAGTTAGTTACTTTGTCAGTTTGGAGAAGGTTAAATAAGATAAGGTATGGGGGAAACCCTTGGCCAATAATCATGAGGTAGGCAGTACACTGACACTAGCCCCCAAAACTCTGGCAAAGTTCAAACTCAACTGAAAAGATTATTTCTCAATCATTCAAGGCTGCCTTCTACTGTAACCAAATGATACCAGTGTCCCAAGAACCTCCCTTACTTCATTCCTGATTGGTAAACCTGTCTGGGATGCTGGATGACATCAGTACACAGAGGGAAATCTAGCTTATATGAAGTACAAAGACACAGGCCTCGCCTTTTCTTCACTTGCCCCATTTCCTCTACCTCTCTTTTCCTCACTTTCTGCTCTCCTCTCCCCTCTCCCTACCTCCCCTTTCTGCTCCCATGAAATCAAATCTTGAACATGACTCTAAGTTCTAATATACTATATACATCAATGTGTCTCATTTGTATCTCATTGTAATTAGTTAAGTTATCCAGAGCTTCCTCTCCTGGAATTCTTAGTGAATCTGTTATTTTACAACACACCCTTGGATCCTTTTTCCATTTGGTTATTGTGTGTGACCACAGATGCCCTTAGGTCCTTCCTGGTCTTCTTACAGTCCCAGTTTTTTCTGGAACTATCTGATTTACTCATGTTTCCCTGTATATCTGCCTTTCCCTATTCACATGACTGAAGAGAAATATACACCTGTACCTTATGAATAGATGGATGCCTTGTATCCATCTTCCTAGGAATACGGAGCTATACTTTACAGGCAGAAATAGAGTTAACAGAGGGAACATAGCACACATATAGGTCAATGTTCCATTCGAGTTTAAAAAAAAAATGAGGGTCGTGGGTATTTGGTGAAAGGTGTTTCTGGCGAGAGGTGCTACAGTAAAGAATTGAAAACTGCTGCTTTTGCAGGAATTAAGAGAAAAATCGTCAGTCAAATGTAAAGATAGATGAGAGCAGTGAACTTCAACCTTCAGTATTTGTATCAAAATGAAAAAGAATTGGGCATCATTTTTAAAATAGCTTCTATTATGTATATCCTATTACAAAGTAAGCATATTTTGATGGGAGAAACATTAGAAAATGCCAATAATCAGAAAGAAAAAAGAAAAGCAGAAAAGAAACCATCCATCACCCATGTAACACTCATAGTGCTTTGTAAGTGTTTCCTGATGTTTTCCAATATTTTCACTTATCATAAACACCTGTCCATGTAATGAAATATTCTTCTATAATAGGATATTTATGACTTTGCAGTCTTTTATCCTTTGAAAATTTCATAATACAAGTCTGTAAACACCTCTGCAGTACACATTCCCCTTTCTGTATGTATCTTTGTGATATGCCCCCTCTGCATGGTGCCAGAAGGTCAGACTGGCCATGTCCTTACTGAATTTTTGTACATTTATTTGCCGACTATTCACCTCTGTTTGTTGTGTTTCTTTGCAATTACTATTCTTATGTGTACGTTCTTTAATATGTCAATACTAAGTTGGATGACAAATTCAGTGAAGAAGTAGAGGGAAATTGTATACAGTAGTCATGGCAGTGGCTGCAATAACCCTGTAATATCCAGTGAAACCTGTTTGAAGAAATATATTGAGCCAGATATGACCTGCATAGGTTAATTTAATCATATAATTATGATTATATTATTATAAGGATTCATCTACATTTTTTGCATTAAGAGTTATACTAAAAGGGAAAAAAGCATAAATTTGTGGCTATGTTTCAGTTGGCCTGTTGGATTTTTCAAAAATATTATCACTATGCCAACTGATGTCAGTTGCTATGTTTATTGAGCATATACTCTGTATTAGATAATTGACATGCATGAATTCATTTCTCATAATAGCACCTTGAATGGTTACACTATAATCCTACTTTGCAGAAGAACTGAACTCAGGCACAGAGAGGGTAGTAATTAGCCTGAGGCCAAACAGCAAAGAAAGGTAAAGTAAAGCTTGGAAAGGAACTCAGATTTTCTGTTTGGAATCTATTCTCACTCTTTACCACTGTGGGAATAACTAGATGTAACTGCTTTTCCAGTTCATTCCAATTAGGTAACTTTAATACCATAAAGAGTATTTACATTACCAGATATTATGAACATTTCCACAAAGCATTTCACAAGTAAACTATAATCCACCGCAAGGAGCTGCAAACTGCTCTTCCAGAAATGTGCTTGCCCATATGTCAAGGTATGAAATGGCTTACAGCTAATTAGAGTGTTGGCTTTGAGAAGATATATTGGGGCCACATGATAAAATACTGTTTAAAAAGGCATTTAAGTTACATTTTAATTATTCAAAACTAAGCAGACTAAACAAATGCCTGCTTAGAAATAAGTTCGGTCAACACTTTGAGAAGTAGTTTAAAGAGCCATAATACTTGAATGTGAAATTTGGAACAGTTGTATTCTTTCTCAAGCTACCTGAATTCTTGTTGAGAAGGAAGAGTATCTGTGTGTTGAGAAAGCAGGGCAGGATAGTGGTTGAGAGCAGCAGCTCTGGAATTAAATTACCTGGATCTACTAACCCACTGGGCATACAATCTTGGGCAAAATTCTTAACCTTGCTTTCTCTTCTTTGAAATGGAATCTTAACAATCCCTATTCCATAGGACTGTTTTGAAGAATAAATGAATGCATATAAAGTGCATAGCACAGTGCCTTGCATATATAATATTAAGAAATGATTAAGTAATATGTTACTATTAATAATAATCCACTCTAGATATATGTAATCCTAGTCAGTTTCTACTAGCTGAAATGCACCCCTCTAATGGGTCAGTGCTGAATCTGAGGTCCAAACTGAGATAGCTCCCTTCCCAGTTTAAATCCTCTTCACCCTTGGAAATCCCTGACTGTATTCCATGGTTTTCCCCTCTTTGATAGTAAAACATAAAATGTATGCAAAAATTTTGAAAATATGTTCTGGCTTGTGGTTTATGTTTATGAATGGCTTTTATTCTTCAGGTCAGCTTCTGGAAGCTGCTGAGCATTATGAAGCATTCCATCAATTGACGCAAGGGCGGATATGGAAGGATGAGACAGGCTGCTTTCTCAACTTGCTGGCCTGCAAGAGTCTCTTGAGGACTTACAGATTACTCTCAGACAAAATGCTAGAAAATAAAGAATACAAACAGGCCATCAGAATTCTAATAAAAGCTTCTGAAATAGCCAAAGAAGGTGAGTGGAAAAGAACACTCTCACATTGCTTCCTTTAATGGGCAGACACTGCTTCTCCCAAGAGTGAAGTAAAAATCGTCAAGTGTTTGGGTGATTATTTCCTATGAAATGCAAAGACAAATGCCATCAATATACTTCCAAATTTCACTGTAAAACGGAGGTGCCTTAGTGCTGACAACAAGAAATCCATTAATTTCTTGAAAGCTTTATCTCCAAAATTACAATGCTCTGGGAGTAGTGTTGTAAAACAGTGAACCTATAATTGAGAAGGTAAGGTTATTTGCAAAACTTAAGAGTGTGTGTGTGTGTGTGTGTGTGTGTGTGTGTGTGTGTGTGTGTATTTAAGGTCATATATTTCTTGCAATCTGAGAGACCTTTCATTGTTTGTAAATTCCTGGTTGTCAGGTAATAGGAAAGATATGATAAATATTTAGTTAGGAGTAACAGGAAAACAGAAGCTGATGTATTTTAGACCCTTGCCGTCTGTGTGGCCCTTGTACTGGCAGCATCAGCACCATCGGGAGGCTTCTGAGCAGCATCACAGGCCTCACTCCACACATACTGCGTCAGAACCTGCAGGTTGTCAGGATCCCCAGGCAACTTGGATGCACAGTTCCAGCAGCGAAAACACTTTTGTGAGAGCAGATCATAGTTTTAATATTCTATGTCTTTTGCATATGTATAAAATAGGAGAAAAAATTTGGAGCATATACTCAAAAACTCTTACTTTGTGAAGTGCAAGGATATTTATTTAACATAGACATTTATTAATAGAGTAGACTTTTCCTGAAGGAAAAAGTGATAGAAGTTAGGCTTTTTGAAGTTTATTAGCTCATGGATATATTTAATTGATTGGCTTATTGAGAAAGCAAGGCTCATTTTCTGGGTGTGATTTTAATTTTCTAAAGAGTAAAAGTAAACAGGTTAACTTATTCTCTCTGTTATTTCTTTCAATAATATTAGTTGGAATACCCATAGGGAATCACCCCCATTGAAGATGTATCCTATTGAATGAACTGTTTTTGAATGAATGGTCTAGTATCTTCCCTAAAGGGGTAAATACTGACATGAAGAATTAACAGTTAGATCAATTTCAGCAGCTAACTTTAGACAGATGGGAAATTATATGGAATTTTAATATGAATTTGGAAAAGGCATTTTGCTTTAGGTTCACATGTGCTAAATTGTAAGGTAATTCATAAAGAAAGGAAGGTTCCAAAGGTCTCTTCCAACAGTCAGTGCCTGCCAGACCGTGTGCTTTCTGAAAGCATCTCTTAATTTCCAAAGGACAAATAAGGTGAGCAGGAGAAATCTTATTTCTTATGCTGTAATAATTTCTTAGTATTTTTTTAAACTGATAAGTATTTGTCTCCCTGTTTTTCATATAAAGATGTAGGTAGGTTAAAGGATCCCACAGTATATCACAGAGCTCTGACAGCAGCCAAAAGGCGCTGGAACAAAGCATCCCTCCTTCCTACCGTATCCTCCTTTGGTAGGGAGCCTGAAGCAGCAAACATGATGCCTGGATAAGGCATGCTGCCAGCTCTGCTTTCCATAATATTTCAGGAGTACTGATATCTGCTGTGGGCCAATTCTTTTCTAGAGCCCTTTGTGTAATGCACAAATTTAGCACAAGCCATACAGTGATTCTGTTTTATTATATTCTATTTATGATTCTATCATTCTATTATTTTCATATTTCATTCATTAATCTTTCATATATTCACAAAGTTGTGCAACCATCAACACTAACCCCATACTCATGAGAAGTCACTCCTCAACCGTTAATCTACTTTCTGTCTCTGGATTTACCTATTCCGGATAGTTCATGTAAATGGAGCCATACAATGGGTGTCCTTTTGTGTACAGCTTCTTTCACTTAGCGTAGTGTTTTCAGGGTTTATCTGTCTTATAGTATATATCATTTCTTTTATGGTTGTATAATATTCCAGTGTAGGGTTGTATCACATTCTCTTCATCAGTTTTATGATCTCACCTTTTGTCTATTGTGAATAATGTTACTATGAACATTTGTATACAAGTTTTTAATTCTTTTGTCTATATAAGTGGAAGTGGAATTACTAGGTCATATAAGTCTATGTTAACTGTTGGGCAAAGAATTTTCCAAAGTGGATGCACCATTTTACAGACCACCAGGAATGCTCAAGGGTTTCATTTTAGCCACTTCCTCACCAGAACTTATTACTGTCCATCTTTTTGATTATGGTTATCTCAGTAGTTATAAAATGATATCTTACTGTGGATTTAATTTGCATTTCCCTGTTGGCTAATGATATTGAGCGTCTTTTCATGTGTTTATAGGTCATTTGTATATCTTCTTTACAGAAATGTCTATTCAGATTGTTTGCTCATTTTTAATTGGGTTATTTGTCTTCTAATTTTTGAGTTTTAATTATCCTTTATGTATTATAGATACAAGTCCTTCATCAGATACATGATTTGAAATCAAAGGGTTTTCTTTTCATTTTCTGATGGTATCCACTGAAGCACAAGTTTTAAATTTTGGCGAAGTCTAAAGTCATCTATTTGTTGTTGTCATTTGTGTTTTTGGTATAACTAAGAAGGCTTTCACTAATCCAATATCATGAAGATTTACTCCTACATTTATTCTAAGAGTTTCATGATTTTAACTCCTGTATAATAGGTCTATGATCTATTTTTAAGTGTTTGTGTGTGTGTGTGTGTGTGTGTGTGTGTGTGTGTGTGTGTGTGTGTGTGGTGGGAGGAAGGATCATCTTCATGTTTCGCACATGGATATCCAGTTGTCCCAGTACCATTCACTGAAAACACAATTCTTTCCAAATAAATTTTCTTGGGACCCTGGTCAAAAATTAACTGACTATAAATGCAAGGGTTGCTTTCTGGATTCTCAGTTCTGCTGCAGAGATCTACATGCCTGTGCTTTTTCCACTGCTACATATTCTTGATTATTACAGTTTTGTGGTAACTTTTGAGATTGGGAAATATAGTCCTCTAATATTGTTCTTTTTTAAGATTGCATAGGCTATTCTGCATCACTTTCATTTCCATGTAAATTTTAGAATTCGTTTCTGCATGAAAGACAGCTGGGATTTTCATAGGGATTGCATTGAATCTGTTGATCAATTTGGGGAACACTGCTGTCTTAACACCAAGTGTTCCAACCCATTATTAGGGATTATCTGTCATTTATTTACAAATTGTTTGATTTCTTTCAGTGATATTTCTTAGTTTTCAGTATACACGTTGTGCCCTTTTTTTGTTGAGTTTATTTCTAATATTTTTCTTTTTGATGCTATTGGAAATGCAATTTTCTGTTTCATTTTAAGATTGTTCACTGCTTGTGTTTAGAAATAAAATTGACTTTTGTATGCTGATTTTGTATATTGCAACCTTGCTAAACTTGTTTATTAGCTTTAATGGTGTTTTGTGGATTCATTAGGATTTTCTAAATATAATATCATGTCATCTGCAAATATAGTTTTACCTCTTCCTTTCTGATTTTGATGCTGAAGGAGAACTGAATAAGTCACCCCCAAAAAACACTTCTGCATAAAGAGTATTTTTGAACTACAGTCACTTGAAAAAAAAACAGTAGATACAAGGATGATATTCTAACCTCCCCCTTTCTTCTTGAAAACAGAAGATAAAAACTGCCATGTGAAAGATGCCCCTCCTTGTACCATAAGAAAAGAAACACTCGTCAATGGGGAGTCAAAGCCAAGGAAAATCTGCACAAACAGACCTTGTTAAAAATGATCTTTATCTTCCTTTGACCTCCCTGCATTGTTTAATTAATTTGTCTACAATCGCCTCTTTTTGTCCAACCCAATATGAAGGCATGTAGGTTTTGTAATTTCTTTGGCTCTTCATTCATTATGAAGGCTCCATGTCACCTAAAACTTATGTAAATTTGTCTGCTTTCCTCCTGTTAGGCTGTTTTATGTCAATTTAACTCCCAGGCTCAGCTGGAAAACCCTCAGATAGAGGTAAAAGTTTGCCTCCCCTACAGTGCTTTTCTTTTTCTTATCTAATTGCACTGGCTAGAACCTCCAGCCCAGTGCTAAATGGAATTGTTCCTAGAGTACGTCAGTCTTTTTTTGTAATGGTAGAGTGAAAGATTTCAGTCTTTCACTATTAAGTATAATGTTAGGTGTGGGTTTTGTAGATACACTTTAACAGGTTGAGTAAGTTCCCTTATATTCTGAGTGTTTTGAGGGTTTTTATCATAAAAGGAGTTGAATTTTGTCAAATGCTTTTTCCGCTTCTATTGAGATAACCATGTGATTTTGTCCTTTCTATTAATATGGCATATATACTGATTGATTTGCATATGCTGAACCAACCATGCATTCCTGGGATAATCCCACTTGACTGTGGTATATAATCCTTTTTATATGCTGCTGGATTCACTTTGCTAACATTTTATTGAGGTTTTTTTGTGTCTATATTCGTAAGGGATATTGGTTGGTAGTTTTGTTTTATTGTGATGTCTGGTTTGAAATCAAAGTAATACCAGCTTTATAGGGTGATTTGGAAAGCATTTCCTCCCAATTTTTGAAAGTGTTTGTGAAGTATGGTATTGATTATTCTTTAAATATTTGGTAGAATTCACCAAGCCCTGTATGCCTGGACTTTTCTTTATGGGAAATATTTTGATTACTGATTCAATTTCTGTTCAGATCTTCTGTTTCCTCTTATATCAATTTCAGTAGTTTGTCTTTCTAGCAATTTGTCCATTTCATCTAATTTGTTGATATACAAATGCCATAATATTTACTTATACTCCTTTTTATTTCTGTGAAGTCTGTAGTGATTTCCCTTCTTTCATCCTGTGTTTAACAATTTGAGACTTCTCCCTCACTTTTTCCCTTGTTCAGTTTAGCTTAAGGTTTGCCAATTTCATTGACCTGTTCAATGAAACAACTCTTGATTTTTCTGATTTTCTCTAATTTCTTTTTATTCCCTTTTTCATTTATTTACACTCTAGTCTTTACTATTTCCTTCCTTCTTTGTGTTTTGGGTTTAGTTAGCTCTTCTTTTTATAGTTTTGTAAGGTGGAAAGATGGTCCTTATTTTCTAAAATAGGCATTTGTAGCTATACATGTACCTTTATTACACTGCTTTAGCTCCCATAAGTTTTAGAGCCCATAAGTTTTTCAACCAAAATATACAACCCAAAATACAAATCATTTTCCTTAATATATAAATATATACAATTTACCCTCTGATTTCTTCTTTGGCCTACTGGTATTTTAGGATGATGTTTAATGTCCACATAGTTGTGAGTCTCCCAAACATTTGTCATTTATTGCTGATTTCATCCTCTTGTGAATACCATTTTCTCAGTGCAATATACCACCTTGACAACTGTATTTAATATTGAAAATATTTAATACTGAAAGATGCTTTTTTCCTGAAACCCACTTAGCACTTCTAGTTCGCTTTACTCTGCTCTATTTTTTCTGCAGAGTACTTATCACCATACAACTTACCACATAATTTATTATGTTTATTGTTTATTTTGTATCTCTTTCTGTCTCTGTCTTCTAAAATGTAAACTCCCCAAGGACAGGAAATTTGGTTAATTTACTGATGTATTACAAGTGCTTAGAGCTTTGCCTGGCTCTAATAGGTCCTCTATAAATATTCTCTGTAGGAGGTCCTCAATAAATATTCATGAGTAAATATATGCAGCCAAATAACAAATAGAAGTTTTAGGGTACATTTTAATGAAACATTTGAGTTACTCCCGAGCACATTATCTCTATCCATTATTCCTGTGATCACACCTGTGATGACCCCATCTTTAGATTCTCTAGTAGACATACTAGTATAATAGTGGGTAATTTAGGTCTTGAAAATAAAAACATAGTATTTTCTTTGAAAGAAATGATTATTGGTTTGGATAGCAAAGCTAATATTATAAATTAATATAATCCATCCAAATAAACTACACAATATAAATAGTAGTATGTCTTTTTCTCTTTGCTATGTGTCACTCAACTTTAATAATGCTGGCATTTTCCTCCATCATTTTATTGCTTTTATTTTATCTTAATTTTGTCTCAGTTACTAAGCAGAAAATTTTTTCATGCTTAAATCCCATTTTAGAACGTTATTTAGTGTGACCTATTTCAATTAGCTGCCTCAAAATCTTTCTATCAACAGAAGTAGATTTTTCTTTCTTCCTCTTTCCTGGGCTGTTCTTTATATAATTGGATGCAAATGGGTAAACTCTATCAGTGCATGCCATTGTTAGTGCTTTTACACAGTTACACTATTTAATACAGCTAGTACAAATCACAAATAAACAACTCTTTAATTATACAAGAACCAACTTCCCTTCATAGCATCTTTCTTCTATGCCATCTTTCCCTTCCCTAGTTCCATCCTTATCCCCAGCACTCAAACATACAGCAGAGAAAAACTTTAGGCCTCGCTGAATTTTAAGAGTTAAAATTCCCCAGACTGGCTCACTGGCACTGTCAACTCCACTGAAGCGAGATCTTGAGGGCATAATTCTCTGCAATTGGTTAAATTGCTAGAGAAGAAAAAAGAAATTCTGTCACTGGCATTTGCCATCCAGTTTTCTTACAGTCTTCCAACTGAGCCACTGCTTTATGAGTGGTAATTCAGTGAGTAGTGAGAACGAATGCAGCACAGAGAACTGCTAGCTCCTGCTGAAAACCATCATGGTTGAAATGCAGAGTTCAGAAATCTAAGGATATTTACTTTCCAGAGATCAAGAATGAGGGTAGGTCTGTAGCATTTGTATTACCCAGGAGTTAGGAAACACTGAAAGTCAAAAACTTCTAAAAGAATAAAAATATGTGTTATTTTTAAAAATTAGAACATTTAATGACTCTTGTAAATGTATCAGATTTGTTATTTTGTATATTAAACGTAAATAAACTATATATGTATTCGATGGTATGTGTGTCTTGTTGAGCCACACGTTACATACGCCTTTACACATTTGGCTTTGTAAAGAAGAATTTGATTATTCCTGGAATAAAACACATTATACAGAAATTAGAAAGGCTAAATTTCTTGCGAAAAGGTGATAAAAAGCATGAACAGTCATTTGCACAGAAAATGTGTTCAGATTTTAAAATATGTGTGGAATTTTATACCAAGAAGCCAAGCTCTGTCAGTCATTCTCACTAAAGTTTTAACCAATAGCTTTTAAATTGAACCTAATGAAAACAATAATTCTTTAGTTTGCTAATTATCTGCCCTATTAGAGACTTAGCTAAATACAGTCTATTTGTATATGTGTGTCTGTGTACTATGTAAGGTTAACACCCTTTACCAATTATTTCATGTATGTAGTAGCAGCTATGCTGGATGACTATAGGTCTTTACAAGGTGGACCAGTATATAAATTATATATGAATGTCAAAATGATAATTTTAAGGGAAGCTCCTTAAAATTATATTGCTAATGTACCTTCCTTTTAACATCTGTCATCCAGGTGCAGAGTCTTCAGTGATTGTCGCTAAATCTGTATACTTTGTTATAATAACATTTTTCTCTCTATTTGTTGTGACAAATCCACTTCTTTAATGCCATGATAATTTTTCTACATATTCACTTTAAGGAAATGACAAAAAGATGGAAGGAGAAGCTTCCTATTACTTGGGCTTAGCGTACTTGGCTGCTGGGGAACTTGAAACAGCACTAACAGTAAGTTGAAGTAAACTTTTATTTGTTGCCATTTTTTATTTTTATTTTATTATATTTATTCTATTGTATGTTGTTCTAAGGCCAACAGAAGTGGAGTGGGCCTGATGTCAGTATACCTATTTGTAGAGACTGAAGCAAAATAGCAATATTCTAGAAGCATAAAGAAATTTTTATTGGTTTTATTGCTTATAGAAGATAGTTTACAGTCAGTTGCCATAAAATGCTTTAGAATACATGAAAATTAAACATACGGAGTGATGTGATCCTTAAACTCCCATATCATCAAGGACAGAGGATTTGGGTTTCAGTTATAGCAAAAATTCAACAGCAAAAAAAATCACAGTGAACTTACAATATGATTTGGGAAATTTTGCTTAGAAAATCTTACAGGTATTAAGCAATAGAATGAATTGCATTGCTGTGGACCTTTAGGGCTTGTGGTGGGGAAGAGGGTAGAAAGGTGGAAGGCAGTGTTCGTCCCAATCTGAGAAGCAGCCCGCTGCCTGATAAAAGTCAGTGTTTGCTTAGCTGATGATCAGCCTGAGGTGTTTGGCTAGACAACAAACAAAAAATGTCAAGAGCTATCTTTTCTGTATTATAACAAACTATTTTTTTTCTCTTCTCTCTTACCTCTAATATATTTCAAGTGTAGCTTCCTATTTCATTTCAAGTACATCTTTTGTAATAATCCTATTCGATACATGGTATTGGTTTTATTTTCAGCTTTGAGGCTCTCTTATTTGCTTCTTTACTAGGATTCCTGGGTTTGCCCTAGTTTTTCTATCACCCTTAAAATTGGGGCATCATAGGAAACTTAGATTTTCCTAGATAACTTCGCTGCTTAATATTTTTCAGTTAGTGACATTCATTCAGCAGAGCTTCGTTCCAGGTACTTTGGGGAACACAGAGGCTAATGAGATACACACTTTCCTTTAGGAGCTAATTTAATGAGGGTGACTAACTTGTAAACATAACTATAATTCAAAGCAAGATGAACAGGGGTTATCTGAGGGCAAAGATAAGAGTGGTTGGTCCCAACACTGCAGATCAGGGAATTTGCACAGAAAAGCTTTTGAGGGGCAGGATTTTACAGGCAGAAAGTACAAGAGTTGCGGATAATAGAGCATTAGGCATGCACTCCCACTTATCATGAACATACTCACTGTTTTGGGGAAGCAATGAATTGTCAAGTGCAAGATAAGATACAGTATGAGATCAACTTGGAAAATTAGGTGAAAAACTAGCTTATAGATTCTCTCTTTCCTCTCTTTCTAATGCACAATGCAAGCACATAGCAAAATAAATTCAAACAATACAATAGGGTTTACAGTAAAAAAAAAATCTAGCACCCCTGTATTCAGCCTTAATAGTTCTTTTCTCAGAGACAAAGTCAGTCACAAGTTTCTGGTTTATCCTTCTGAAAATATTCATATATATGCATAGCACATAAGTGCATATAGATATGTGCCCTTTTTGATGTACAAAATGGTAGCATTTTATGCACTGTTCTGCACCTTGAGTTAACTTGTTCCATACTAATGCATATACATACCCATGCCCCATTTTAAAGGATGTGTGGTATCCTATGCTGTAATTGTACAGTAATGAGTTTAACCATTTCCTATTGGTCACTGTTACCTATTTAGGAAAAGGGTCTTTGCAAATACAATTAAGCTAAGGATCTTGAGATTAGGTGATCATCCTGGATTATCTGGGTTCTAAATCCAATCACAACAGTTCTAAAAAAAAGGCAGGATGTTTGAAGCAGAAGACAAGAAGACACACACACAGAGAGGAAGGCCGTGTGAAGATAGTGGTAGAGTCTGGAGTCATGATGCAACAAATCAAGGAATGCCAAGAGCAACCAGAAGCTGGAAGAGGGAAGAAGGATCCTCCCCCAGAATCTTTGGAAAGAACATGGCCCTTCCAATACCTTGATTTTAGACTCCTGGCATTCAAAACTATGAAAGAATCAATTCTTTTTTTTTAAGCCCTTTAGTTTATGGTAATTTGTCCCATCATCCTAGCAAATTAACACATAGGGTGATTAGAAGAGACAATTTGTATAAAATGTTAAAGAGTGCCTACCTGATATAGAATAAAACTTTGATGATTATTACCTTTTATTATTTTTACACTAATCTCTGACATTACTGGTAGTAGTGAAGATAGAGGGAAGTAGTTTCCAAAGTTCTGAAGGACTCAGTAATAGACTATGTATGGGAGGTGGCGGAGAGAGAGGTGTCCAAATGGGCTCTTAGGTTCCTAGCTGAGGAACTGGGTGGATGTTGGTATCATTGACTGAGATAGGGAATGCTAATGGACACCCATTCTTAGGGAAAAATGGAGAATTCCTTTTTTGAGTATGTTGAATTTGAGATACCCAAGGAGAGATCAAATAGTGGCATATGTGGGTCTGGATACTATAGAATGAGCATACTAAGTTTCGGCATACTGAAACTGTGGAGTAGAGATTTCCTAGAGACAGTTGACAGTGATGAATGAAAAAGGCTAGGGCCAAGCTGGGTGAAGGAGGTACAAAGAAGATTAAGCAGGGGTATGTAGAAAGATAGAAGGAAAACCAGGAATGGGTAATTGCATCTAAGCCAAGGAAACTGCTTGTGTCTAAGAGATAGAAAAATGCCTCCTATCCCAGGTTTTAGGCTGGAATGAGAAAGCTCCTTGCAGATATTTCCAGTAAAAAAAAAAACCCTCCACCCCCGAGGGATGTACATCAGTTAGAGCCAAGGTTAGTTAACTTTTGTCCTTTAATTCTCCAGCCAGGATGGAGGCTTTGGGAAAGCAGGAAAGCTGTATTTGAGGCCTCGGGCTCACTGCTACCATCAGGAGTAGCCTTTGCAGTTGGGAAGAACCAGGGCCTGTCTACTCGAGCCCAGGTCCTGCTTGTGGCAGAAATTTGTTGCCTTTTGGAACACAGCTCACCCAGAAGCAGACTGACAGGAACCAAGCATAAGATTCGGGCCAGATCCATGGGCGCTGCAGGGCCAGTGAAGGCTCTGCTGTCAGGTCTAGGTACAAGATGGCAAGAGCAAAGTCAAGACGGTGTCAGGTTCACAGTTATAAGCCAGGAGGCAAGGAGCGGGTACCAAGGATGGGAAATAGGGGCTGTGTTGTGGTCAGGATGGGGAATGGACACTGGGCCATTGTACATGAGTCAGGGCATGGGAATCTTCCAACTCAGGCAGCTTTTAGAGGGCAGCCTGTTTTTGCTGTTGTACTGAAATAGATTCCCATGAAACCTGACATCTTGCTCTGACTTCAGATTAAAGGTCGCATCTTTGGCCATTTTCCTCTGCTTCCTTGAAGAGATAAAAGGATGTTCTTTAGACTTCAGTTTGAATCCCCTTTTACTCTTTTGTTTCTGGACCTGGTGAAGGTGATCATGTTACGTAAGTGTCTGTTTGCAACCTCTAGAGCATGTTTTTCCTTCTGCAGCCTGTCTCCATCTGCATTGTTCCTAGTTTGCAAGATGTCTGTTAGAAAACCACAACAGGACAGTTCACTCCTTATTTGGTGAATATATTTTTAAAAACTACATGATCAACTAATAAATAGGATTGATTCCCTGATTGGTTGATTACATATCTGCCCAATTGTCTTAATCACAAAGTAAAAATTCAACATACAAACACTTTTCTTTTTGAAATCCTCTTTTGCCCTACTCTCCTTCTCTGGGCAATATTACCAACACTATCCCCATCTATTTTAAAGCATTGATGGTGTTTCTGTCACAGCATGGCTGTTGGGGGCAGGGGGCAGAAATCAGTTGTCAAAGGCTTTGGGAAAGCAGGAAAGCTGTATTTGAGGCCTCGGGCTCACTGCTACCATCAGGAGTAGCCTTTGCAGTTGGGAAGAACCAGGGCCTGTCTACTCGAGCCCAGGTCCTGCTTGTGGCAGAAATTTGTTGCCTTTTGGAACACAGCTCACCCAGAAGCAGACTGACAGGAACCAAGCATAAGATTTGGGCCAGATCCATGGGCGCTGCAGGGCCAGTGAAGGCTCTGCTGTCAGGTCTAGGTACAAGATGGCAAGAGCAAAGTCAAGACGGTGTCAGGTTCACAGTTATAAGCCAGGAGGCAAGGAGCGGGTACCAAGGATGGGAAATAGGGGCTGTGTTGTGGTCAGGATGGGGAATGGACACTGGGCCATTGTACATGAGTCAGGGCATGGGAATCTTCCAACTCAGGCAGCTTTTAGAGGGCAGCCTGTTTTTGCTGTTGTACTGAAATAGATTCCCATGAAACCTGACATCTTGCTCTGACTTCAGATTAAAGGTCGCATCTTTGGCCATTTTCCTCTGCTTCCTTGAAGAGATAAAAGGATGTTCTTTAGACTTCAGTTTGAATCCCCTTTTACTCTTTTGTTTCTGGACCTGGTGAAGGTGATCATGTTACGTAAGTGTCTGTTTGCAACCTCTAGAGCATGTTTTTCCTTCTGCAGCCTGTCTCCATCTGCATTGTTCCTAGTTTGCAAGATGTCTGTTAGAAAACCACAACAGGACAGTTCACTCCTTATTTGGTGAATATATTTTTAAAAACTACATGATCAACTAATAAATAGGATTGATTCCCTGATTGGTTGATTACATATCTGCCCAATTGTCTTAATCACAAAGTAAAAATTCAACATACAAACACTTTTCTTTTTGAAATCCTCTTTTGCCCTACTCTCCTTCTCTGGGCAATATTACCAACACTATCCCCATCTATTTTAAAGCATTGATGGTGTTTCTGTCACAGCATGGCTGTTGGGGGCAGGGGGCAGAAATCAGTTGTCATGTTGGAGCCATGAGAGACAGTGTGTGGTCAAATTTAGCATTCCCTTCCCTTTTCATATTCAGTCTATCTTTAATTCTTGCCATCAATTCCATATACTTTTTACTCTATCACCTGTATTTTATTGGAATATTTTTAAATGTTCAGTATCTTGCCTCTAGATCCAACTTCAGCCTCTCATGAATTTCTCCCTTCCAGGCATGT